TGGCTTTGCTCCTGTCTCCCTGGTCTGCTGGGGGGGTCCAGCGGCTTTGCTGGACCCCCCCAGCAGACCAGGGAGACCGGGAGAAGCTTTTTTCGCCCCGGAGGACACGGGTGGCGACCCGCCGCCCATGAACTCCGGGGCGAGAAAAGCCCCGTTCGTAAGTGCGGATCTGATATAAGTCGGATCCGCGTAAGTCGGGGACTGCCTGTATACCAAAGGATACAATTAAAAAAATGAGCACATGAAAAGGACTTCATATGTGGTTTTTTTAAAATTGTATCCTTTGGTATATAGGGTTGTGACAATTTTCTTCCACTATTTGATCTGAGGAAGTGGGTCTGGCCCACGAAAGCTCATCACCTAATAAACCATCTTGTTAGTCTTTAAAGTGCTACATAGTCCTGTTTTCTGTTTCCACTGTCCAACAACTCAATGCAACAAGAATGTCATGCTGATAAGTAAGAGCATGAGGGTGCTACTTCTCTCTTCTATCACTGCATGCTGTGACAAACTTAAGTCACTCAAAACAGTTCTTAGTTGTATAACTAATCTGGTTTAGGTTCAACGCGGTTGTACATTGCTGGCAAAGGCATTTCAAATAGGTCAATATCGGGGTTCACATTACTGCTAAGAACACACAGGGAAATTGCTCTGATTTGTGCATTTAGCGATTATTAGTAATACAGGTTGAACCTCTCTATTCCGGCACTTTCTGGTCCGGCAACATCCATGGTGCGGCATGATTTTCCTTCGCTGGATGGCCACTTAGCATGGGTGTGACCAAGTTTCCTACGGCCCCATAAAGTTTGTTTAAAGCCACTAGTCCTGGCTCAGTGTTCTGTGCTGTGTTTTAGGTCTAATTTACCCAGTCTTCTATGAGCCCAGCAAGCAATGGAAGGGTTGGTGATGCTGCGAGGGACCTCCCGTGGTCTGGCAAATTCTCTGGCTTGGCACTGGTCAGGTCCCAAGGGTGGTGGAACAGCGAGATTCAACCTATACTTAAAATCAAAGATACAATTTCCATTTATTATTTAATCGCCCTTCTTTTTTGTTGCTTATTGTCATTATTTGACATATTTAGCTACCGCTAAACTATGAATCACATCTCTCTAGTTTTAGAGGCAACGTAAATAAGCATTCGCCCTCTAGAACTAGATATGTTGCTACACAGAAACTTGATTGTTCTGACAAACCATAATTACCAGTCTTGTGGGAATCGTGTGAGCAGCTGAGCCAAACGCCTAATAGCCCAAGCGTGTTGTGGGCTTGTGACGGCTCCCAAATATTTAGGCTAGCAGTGAAATGTTCATATGAATAGTTGTTTCGATAAGATAGTAAGGGCAGGATTTTCAACAGAACTGAGCAATCAAGGTGGGTGGGAAATAATTTTCCAGGACCAAATCAGGTCAAAAAAGTGGAAATCTAAAGTACAAAAACAAAATTGCAAACCAAAACCATTCAAAATGTTTCATGTTGATCATTTAAAAAAATCTTGATTTGACTTGCACCTTCTTTTCCGTCCCTTTTTTTAAACTTGCATTTTTGAACCAACCAACCCACCCATGTCATTTTGAAACATGTGCCAAGAGGAGCTTGCAACAGCTTTGACACTTTTCTTCTTTTGGAATGGAAAGCTTCATTGAAACGGATCCTTTACTGCACAAGCGGCGAGGAGTCCTGTGGCACCTTCTAGACTAACTGAAGTGTTGGAGCATAAGCTTTCGTGGGCACAGACCCACTTCGTGAGATGCATGTCATGTCATGCATGTGACGAAGTGGGTCTTTACCCACGAAAGCTTATGCTCCGACATGCATCTCATGAAGTGGGTCTGTGCCCACGAAAGCTTATGCTCCAACACTTCAGTTAGTCTAGAAGGTGCCACAGGACTCCTCGCCGATTTTGCAGATTCAGACTAACATGGCGACCCCTCTGAAACTTTTCTGCACAGTTTTGGTTTTGATGAACTGGTGTTTTCCCTCAAATGGCTTAATTTGTTTTCACTGACATTTGGTGCTTTGAAACTCCTGCCCCAAATGCCTGTTCACATGCTGTAAGAGGACTTCTGCAGGAAAGGTTGATGGCGCCTAAACTCTGCCTTGGATTGAACTGCTGCGATTAAGTGACAGTACTGCAAGTTTTGTGCATTTTCTCCTGCCTGCTCGGGTTTCCTAGCATTCTATAGCTTAGAGTTGAGCACAAGGGTTAGTGGCACCGTATTACACACTTACGTGATAACGGGACACAAAATAGAGTTGGAGCAAGGTATATTTGACACATACCATGCGCCGATTTTGCAGATTCAGGTAAATGGAGGACGTCAAACTCTCCAAAGCAATTGTTGTACACACAGACAACACAGAGGGCCTAGGATCCATCCCTGCTTGCTCTGGATGCTTTTGGGCAAAGTATGGCTGTGGAAAAAAACAGCACAACAGAAAGCTGGACACTAATAGAAGGGGGAGATAAAAAGCAATGCATGATGGGATATGCAGCATGGTTCCAGGATGCACTGCAATCTGTTTCACCTTCCCACATTACCTAGCGGCACATGGTGTCACCAGGCTCGGGGGAGGGGGGGCGCTGCATCCCCACAGGACATCGCTCACACTCGCTGATGGTGCCCCCAATGTGGACAAAGGGAGCAAGCGTGAACATGCGTGTGCAATTTTTATGATGTCGACTTTTCAGAGCCTACCTAAGTTTGGGCACCAAAACGTAGCCTCTCGCTCCCCAATGGCTTTGTCGCTGCTACTGCTACAGGCTGAGAGTGCAGAGGGCTGAGCACAAGGATTTAACCTGGGGAAACGCAGACACTGAAAACAAGCTAGATGTGGGTCGATGTAAAGAACAATTGGGGACCTAGCAGAACCGATCGATCTGCTTAATAGTGCTGGTGATGGTGTCGTTACACAGAGATCCCTGGGTATCCATTATCCCAGGGGTGGGTAAAATACAGCCCGTGGGCCAGATCCAGCCTGCCAAGCCTTTGAAGCCAGCCTGCAGCCTGCCCCGCCGGACCCTCAAACAGGGAGCAGCCTTGGGGCTCAAAGCAGCTGGCTGCTCCTTGTGCCTCTGCACCGTGCACGAGGGTGTGGGGGAGGCTCCCATTGGCCGGTTCATAGAGGGAGCTTGCCTGAGGGTCCCACTGGGCTGCTGGCTGGGAGCCACCTAGGTAAGCGCCTCCCAGCCAGAAACTGCCTCTAGAACCCCACCTCCCCTGCACCCCACTTCCTGCCCCAGGCCCCCGCCCAAACCTCCTGCACCTCCCACCTCAGGTCACAACTCCCTCCCAGACCCTGCAACCTCCCCCAGGCCAGAATCCTCTCCTGCACCCATACCCCTTCCCAATCCCCTGCCCCAGATCACAGCCCCCTCCCTTCACCCAAACACCCTCTCAGACCCCAGTCCCCTACCGCTAGCTCCCTTGTGCGCCCTTATTTACCAGTGCGTAGCAAGAGCACAGCTACACGGCCACTAATAGCCCCGTCCATTGTCAGTTTCATTTATTCTTGCTATGCAGTACAGTGGAGTTCCACAATGTCGTTAGCTTAGAGGCCCGTTTGCAGCTGGTCCTTAATCAGGCACGGTCTCAGGGTGAGCCACCTGGAGCGCCTGCAATCCTACCCCCCCAGCCCGGCCTTCCTTCTTCAGGAACCGGGCTTGTTCATTCAATCTGGCAGCCTCTCCGCCCCCAGCACAATGCCCGTCCCGCTCAGGCCCGGAACAAACCCAGAATCTGCACTAGGAGAGCTCTTGGGTTCAAGCCATTTTGTCCTGCTGACCTGAATTTCGGTGGTTGAACACGGATGTGGACATCACGGCTCAGATGTAGAAACAACGTGCCGGCTATTTCGCTTGGGTCTCCTCACACCCCAGCGTGTGTGCCGGCAGGATGTACGGTAACAGGCAGTAAGACGACCAGGGTGCGGTGCTGGTTTTTCCCCGGAGAACATGCCCCACAAAGCTGGAAGTTCAGTAGACGCTCCCGTCAGGCATGTGGATGGGCCGCTCTTGGCTGATACAGCAGATCCCAAACGACGAACTCATTAGCTGTGGAAAAGGACTTTGGGATTTGCCAGCTGGTCTGCTCTGCCCACGCGCACCGCCTGTGAGCTTCCATGGCGCTTGGGTGGCTGGGTGATTTGAGCCACCCTGCTGAAGTACTTGACTGGGCTAAAAATAAAAAACCCGGAGCGTGGCTGTGAAGGTGGCAGGGCAGATCATTGGTTGCGTGTGGCCCCTCCCTGGCCAGAGTAGGGGTCACCAAGTCCCCCCCTTCCCCGTGCGACTTGCAGAGTGAGCGCCAATCAAATTGGGCACCGTGGGGTCTCTGGGAACCTTTTCTTCTTTCTGAGCCTTGTCCCTGTGCTCTGCCTGACTCAGGCCTTTGCTACATCAGGGCACAAGGACCTTTCACAATTATAAAGCCAGTTTCCCCTGCCTCTACACCGCACGCTTCCATCCAAGGCTAAGAAGGGGACACGTCCAGCCCACTTAATTAGTCTCATTAGCACCGGTTCTACAACTGACAAGTACTTCCCCCCCCCTCCATTATAAATATCTTGGTTCTGTTAGTTCCACTCCCGCTAGGCTGAGGAAGTGGGTTTTTCCATGAAAGCTCATGATCCTACAGGCACATTTTGTTACGCTCCAAGGGCATGTCTAGCCTAGGAGACTATTTTGAAATAAGTCCTGAAATGACTCTGTCGACCCAAGGGCATGTCTAGCCTAGGAGACTATTTTGAAATAACTCCTGAAATAACTATGTCGAACTAGTGTGTCCTCACTACTAGGAAGCCTCGAAACAAGTCTGAGGCAGGCTCAGTTAATGTGGACGTGCGACCTCGACAGAGCCCCAGGATTCTCTGGGGAGTAATTAGTCCGAATGACTCTCGGGAGGAGCTCCTTCGAAATAGCCACAGCGGAGCGGCCACACGACTTAGCCGCAGTAGAGCGTCCACACTACCACTATTTCGGAATGAGCATTATTCCTTGTGGAAAGCAGGAGTAGTTCAAAAGAACCAGCCCTATTTCGAAATACCAGGCTTGGTCGGGTGGACGCGCCACTTCCGCTTATTCCAAATTACTCCCAAGTGTAGGCCAGGGCTACGGTGCCACAGGACTGCTCGTGGAACCAGGAGTGTCACGGTGGGAACGGGAAAGGACCCACGGCCACCGCGTCCCCTGAAGTAGGTCAGGCTAGTTGAGGGGAGGCCGAAAGCACCCCCGGGCCTCGGCTAATGGCTTGGTCACTGTGTCCCACAGAACAATCATCATTGTGGAAAAAACGTGTGTGGGTGTGAAGTACAGACCAACCCTTCACAATTTAACCAAACAACGGGTATTCCTCCCTCCTCCCAAAGTCAGCGACTCCCAGTGGTCTAGTTCTGAGGGGACAGACAATTCTAGCCTGAGAGAATAAAACTGTTTGGCTCATTAGAGTTGCATTAAGGAAAAAAAATCCAACATCTCAACCACCCACAGAAGCAACCGAGTGACGAGAGGAGGGGGAAGGAGTGAGCAATACTGGGGGGGGGGGGGGGAGGACTAGACAGGGCCTGAAGGGATGAGGTGAAACAGGGGGTGCAGGAGATTCCTGTGCTCCTGCTGTAGTGCCTGATTTGGGGGGCCCTTCCTGGGGGAGGGGGCTCTTGCAGCTGCCCCCCCTTTTCTCTGCAGTGTTCTCCCTTCACACGCTGCCAGCCAAGTGACTGCAGCAGCCCCAGTGACGGGCTCTCTGCAGGCCCCGGGAGGGCTGGTAAGCAGGAGTTTTAGGGGGACAGGGTTAGGGTTAGGGTCCCACACATTAGGACATCTGGGGGCAAGTTGGAGTCCCTAAAAGGGCAACCAAAAAGTGACCCAAACTTTTAATCTTCCCTCAGAGGTCAGGGTTTCTAAAAAGTGGACTTGGTTAGTCTCGAGACAACCGAACAGAGGGGCGGGAGGAGGCTGATAATGGTCTTCATATACATTAAGGGCTGCTCCCTTCCCCCCAACTCCCTGCCCCAGGTCACCGCCCAAACGCTTTGCACCCCCTCCTCCAGATCACAGCTCCCTCAGACCTTACACCCCCTCCTACACCTTCCCTCAGGCCAGAATCCTCTCCGGCACCCATACCCCCTCCCAACCCCTCTGCTCCAAGCCCCTACCCCAGGTCATCACCCAAACCCTCGTCACCCCCCTCCCCCAGGGCACAACTCCCTCCCAGATCCTGCACATCCACCCCCCCAATTCCTGCACCAGGCCAGAATCCTCTCCGGCACCCATACCCCCTCCCAACCCCTCTGCTCCAAGCCCCTACCCCAGGTCATCACCCAAACCCTCGTCACCCCCCTCCCCCAGGTCACAACTCCCTCCCAGATCCTGCACATCCACCCCCCCAATTCCTGCACCAGGCCGGAATCCTCCCCTGCACTCAGACCTCCTCCCAACCCCTCCACCCCAAGCCCCTGCCCCAGATCACAGCCTCCTCCTTCACCCATGCTCCCCCTCAGCCTGCTCCCCAGTACCCTACCCCGAGCTCCCTTCTGCACCCAGCCCCCGCAACCCCTCCACAGGAAGTGTGGCCCTTGACAACTTACCGAAATCTTGGAAGTGCCCCCCCCATTAGTGCCTATCCCGGCCCTAGGTACTAGGGTGATCCAGACCGTTAGCAACAAGCAGCTCAGAGAGCTGATCAAACTCCCGTCTGCCAGAGCCGTCCCGCATGCAACTTGCGCCAAGCGTTACGTTTCGGAAGCCTAGGCCGCCCCCTGGTGCTCCTATCCAATATGGCTGTTGAACAATTAAATCCCAAGTGCAATCGTACACTTACACAGTGTACGATTTACATTTATTGCCACTATTTGGGGTGTTTTCTCTCCATTTTCAACCATATCCATTTCAAGAATAACCCAGGCCACAGTGTACAGTGCTGGTGTCTCTGACGACATATTTGCACAACAAAAAGGGAACAGCATTGTTCAGTGCACCCCCCACAGACGCTCAGGTGCGCGCCTTAATGTGGAAGTGCAGCTTCCAGGTGTAGAATTATTATTATTATTAATATTATTAATTATTATTATTATTATTATTATTATTATCGTCTTTTACATAATTGCACTCAGACCCACAGAATCTGAACCAGGGAGTTTGCCAGAGCTGGCAAAGTCAGTGCTACCCTGTCGATTGCCAGCCCACAGTCCTGGGCTCCCCTCTGGGCTACCGGGCCACTCCTGGCTGCCAGCGCTGGCTATTGGGTTCCATTCCCAGGTACCGCCCCCATCCCCCGCCACCAGCTGGCTGCAGATTCCAAGCCAGGCTCCTGGCTGCATCTGGCCCAGCTGCATCTCCCCAGCTAGGACTCCCAGGCGCCAGATGTCCAGCTGGCACCCACTCCTGGCCACTGGGTCTCTCTGGTCCGGTGACGTCCATGGTCCAGCACGACCCCGGATGTTCCCAGACCAGAGTTCCAGATTTCAGAGGTGGCGTCTGTATTGCTTTTATCCTTCTGATAAAAATACTTGCAATCAAAACCGATGTGTAGTCTGTGCTGAAAGTGAAATCACATTTCTACATTTGTAAACGCGGAAAAAACACCCAAAAATACTGATCCTAATTTTAAATTGGGATTCGTTTATCATTTCGCCGTTAATTGTGATTTTTTTAAAACCCGGTGAATTTGTTTTGTGTGAATCGCTTGCTGAACAAGAGTTTGGTGGGGAGGACAGTTCTGTAGCGCTCTCTGGCGGAGGGTCGCAAAGAAATTCCCAGCTCTGAATCCCTGCATGGCTAAAAAGCAGCTCAGAAAACTTAGGAGACATGCTCAAGCCCGTGCAGTAATCAGCTGCAGAAGCACAAATAAAATCCAGACCTCTTAGATCCCCCACGCCTGCATTTCAACCACACGCACACGCCTCCCCGATGTTCTCATTGTCAGCCTCTAATTTGCAGTCCCTGCGAGAAAAACAGAACAGGGCCGGCGTCTTCTGGAGTGGGTCTGTGCTACAGACTCACGACATCGACCCACCTCTCCCACCCTTCCTGCTGTAACCATGTCTGCATCGGGAGCAAAGTTGTGGAACAGAGCACAAATTTGGTCCCATCTGAGCAAAAGTCTCATAAGGAAGGAGGCCTTTTCACGTCGGAATCTGAAAACCGGAGAAACCTCTAGGCCCCTGGGGTCCCGACCGATGCTGGACCACGGGAGGACAATATTGTCTAGCCGCAGTACCAGCACTTCCACTGCTTGCGGGTTTGTTAGAGGACATTTTGGGGTAAATTAGAGCTAAACAACAGCACAGAACGCTGAGAGCCAGGTCTGGGGGGCTGCAAATTACCATTATGGGGCCGTGAGAAACTTGGCCATGCCCATGCTAAGTGACAACCGGTGAACTACTATCCTGCCGGACCATGGATGTTGCTGGACCAGACAGTGCCGGACTAGAGAGGCTCAGCCTGCAGTAGCTTCCGTTCTGGGAAAGAATTCAAAACGCGTCCTTCCGAAGCAACAGCCTGCGCGGAGCAGAGAAGAGTGACACACAGTGAAGCCCATTGACAGGTGTGATGGGGCCGAAAAGGGCTGCAGGAGGTGGATACAGCCATGGGAGAGGTAACAATGGACATCTGGCAAGTTCAACACCAGGGGGACACTCGCTCTTGCATCCCCTGGCATGCTCCTGAAAGAGGCGGGAGGGACAGCACTGGGAAGCAGAGGACCCACGTGCAAAGCCAGCATCAGAAGAACAGTCAGGCTCCAGAGAGGGAGGTTGTGGAAGGGGCGGGGCCTCCGGCAGAAGGGGCGGGGCCTCAGGCAGAAGGGGCGGGGTTGAGAACTACCCCACCCCCCCTTCAGCCATTTCTGAGGGTTGCCTGTCCATCTAGCTTGCCTGAATGGCCCCGTTTTCCTTTGGGCGATGCTCTACACACGCCCTCCAGATAACTCACCGCATCGCAGCCGCCAGATTCCCTGCTGAGCAGCGCCCGTGAGGAGCCAGCGAACCCCTCGCCGCGCATCACAAATCAGGAGGTTGATTGGCTTAAATATTTGCCACACACACTAGACAGCAGGGTGCATGTGCCCTGGGCAACCCCGCAGTACAGAGGCTGGAGCACGTTTAATGGACAGACAGACAGACAGTCCCCTACCCCCGCCACACAGCTGGTCGTTTACGCCCAGCCGCAAACCCAAGGAGCAGGCCGGACACTGGGTGGGATATTAGAAAGGACTCAGAACACCTTGCCGGGCATGACACACAGCACTGGCTGCAGCTGGCCTTGTATATGCCTGTGGGCTCTCCCCCACACCTCCCACACGCAGACTGGAGTAATTTCAAACACATTTGCAGGCAAGGGAAAAGTACCGGGGGGAGAACGGGGAGGGGGAGCCGGAGCTGTAATTCTTTCCAGAAGCGAATCGGATGCACCGTGGAGGTACTGGGGGTGGGGGCGGATTCCAGCGCTTGCAAGGGAAGTGCAGGAGTAGAAAGGACGCCCCACCGGGCGCTCGCTGCTCAGCGAGGCACAATCTGGGGAAGGGACGGGCTACAACGGCTTTCGTTCCCAAGAATTCCCCCCCACCACGCTGCTCCGTCCAAGTTCTCTTGCTGGTCAATCCACACCCTTCATCTAAACCAGGGCTACTCCGCTTTGGAAGCCCCGGAGGCCACAATGATACTCACAGCACATGCCGAGGGTCGCAACTTAAGTGTAGATGCGTAGACATGCAAATATATATGCAAATATATGCAAATCGCTTCTTTCATACTGACGGGCATAAATACAAAAATTAAGACAAGACTACACAACACACGGGCCCCAGCTAAGTCAGTTCTGCAGATATTAATAAAATGCAACATTTACCCGATCTCCACCCATGTGACAGCACTTTTAAAGAGCAACGACACTCCAGGGATTAAACTACTAAAACGCATATCGGCAGAAGACCGTTATATTGACGACTTTTTGGTTTTGGCTCCCACCCACAGACCCTCGTGTTGAGCTCCGCGTAGAGCCAAGCCACGCTACAGGCTGCAAACAAACAGGCTGCGGGCCATGTGTTGAGCAGCCCTGATAGAGACCCACGGGGGCCGCGTAGAGCCAAGCCACGCTACAGGCTGCAAACAAACAGGCTGCGGGACATGTGTTGAGCAGCTCTGATAGAGACCCACGGGGAATGTTTTCCTGCATCCCAGCCCCACTCCACCTTCACCCAGTGTGTAAAAAGAAGCCCTATGGCCAAACCAAGTGAGATATTTCATTGGGTTCAGACCCCCAAGAGAGAGCAGTTTATTTGCAGCCACTTTACCATTCTCAGAAAACAGCCCCCCGCCCCCCTTCGACAATCCAACTGCCCCAGTATTCGTCTCAAAAGGTTACACTGCCCCCTCCTTGTTCTGGGGTGGGGAAGGGGAGGGGGGGGCCTAGAAAGCCTGAACTGTCCTGAGCAATCCTCCTTCCAGTCAATCCACAACACAGAAGCTTTAAAACGTCTTCTCCGTTAACACGTCCCTCCCTTCACGGCAGAGATTTCATACAGTCGCAGCTTTTAAAGGCGCTTAAGAGCCCGGCGGTTAAGAGAGAAACGCCATTCGAAAAACCACTAAACCTCCACCGGTGCCCAACAGTCATCCTGAACTGTCCTGAGCAATCCTCCTTCCAGTCAATCCACAACACAGAAGCTTTAAAACGTCTTCTCCGTTAACACGTCCCTCCCTTCACGGCAGAGATTTCATACAGTCGCAGCTTTTAAAGGCGCTTAAGAGCCCGGCGGTTAAGAGAGAAACGCCATTCGAAAAACCACTAAACCTCCACCGGTGCCCAACAGTCATCGGCAGGTTGTTTCCCATGGCGATGAGAGTGGCTCTTAAGGCCTGTGCTTTGCTCCCATTGTCCGGACACGGCTTTGAACAAACAACTTACAAACCAGCCGTGAGAGGACAGCGGGCAGGGACAAAGAGGAGAGGAGCTTTGCAGATCACCTAGTGCCGAGTGTACAAAGGAGACCTCCTAGTCTTTGCTGGCAATAGCATTTCCGGGGGCTTTAGGGGACTCCAAGCCTGAAGAATTCCAGTTCTGGGGCTGTAGAGGCAAAACCCTTTTAACCCTGCAAAGTCCCCGTCGGTGCCAGCCCCCGTCCGAATGGCCAAGGTTCCTTCGTCTCCTGCCTCCACCTTGGACTCTCCAGTTGCTGCTTCCTGGCGAAATACTGTCCGCGGCCGGTCGCGCTCAGCCCGGTGAATCTCTACTGCTCTCACGCTTCAAAGCCATCTGCCTGGAGCACGTGGGGAGGGGCACAGAGCTTCATTCGAAGGGGAATCGGGCACTGACCCTGCCCTGGGTTGTGCTGGAATCCAGGACCCCAGATTGGTCCTGCCTAGAGCGGGGGGCTGGACTTGACGACCTTCAGAGGTCTCTTCCAGTTCTATGATTCTATGATAAGAGGATGGTTTGATGAGATAACATGATCTTGGTAACTAATTGACCATTCATTTTCAGTGGGAAATAGATCAATGGAGGGATGATAGGAGTTACGATAGAGAATTTCTGGGTGTCTGGCTGGTGAGTCTTGCCCACATGCTCAGGGTTGAGCTGATCGCCATATTTGGGGTCGGGAAGGAATTTTCCTCCAGGGTAGATTGGCAGAGGCCCTGGAGGTTTTTCGCCTTCCTCTGTAGCATGGGGCACAGATCACAGCTAGAGGATTCTCTGCATCTTGGGGCCTTCAAGTATTTGAAGGCTTCAATATCTGAGATCTAGGTGAGAGGATTATTCTAAGAGGGGTGGGTGAGATTCTGTGGCCTGCACTGTGCAGGGGGTCAGACTAGATGATCATAATGGTCCTTTCTGACCTTAAAGTCTGAGTCTATGAGACAGCGCACAACAGCCAGCCCCACCAATCCTCTGCTCTCGGTGTTATTAAACCCGGTGCTAAACCGGGACACGGCCCCATCCTCCGGCAATGCCAGGCTAGTCCCACCTGTAGCCCCAGGGCCAGGGAGTTGCAGCAGCAGCCCTGGGAACTACAAGTTGTGGACGACAAACTGCGACGTGGTGGGAGAACTTCCTGGTTCCTGCCAGGGTGGGCCCTCTGCCCCCAGCAGGGTCTCAGCAAGGGCCGAGCTAGCAGCAGCACACAGGGTGCACGCTGAGTGGAGGGGCTGCTCAGCTGGTTTCCTGCTCTATGGTTTTTACAGAATAAAGCCTGTTCCTGGTGATTTGTCTGTAGGGGTCTGGTCTGAGGCGTGTGCGTGCGTGCACACCCACACACCCACCCCCTTTCAGGCAGTGGTGTAAGCAGTCGAAAGGCTTCCCCTATGCTGAATAACCTCACGCGGGGCTAGCCAACAGGAGGGGTCACACACCCATGAGAACCTTGCGGGGGAGGGGCAGTTTTGCGGGAGCGGCAGCACCGCCGACCAGAGGAAATTCCCATTTCAGCCATTTGCTCCGCATCTCCAGTGTTTCCTCACACGCAGGTTCTTCCCTTTGCCCGTCTCCGCACCATTTCCTGGGGAGCTGAGGGGGCCGGCAGGGAAGGGAGGGGGCCCGGAAGACGGCAAAGGATAAAACTCATCTGCCCCTTCGAGCCTGACCGGCAATGAGCTCCCCCGCCCAGCACCAAGCTGGTGTCCAGGCTCTAGGTTCTAGGGGTCTCCGTGCTGCACAAGCCCCCTTGAAGCCCCCTGGACTCACAGGAAATGCTCCTCCAGCCCAAGCCTCACGGCAGCTAAAAATCCCCCCGACGCCAGGTCTCTTGCCCAGGACGCATCGTGCCGGCTACTTGGTTGGGGACTCGCAATGAGCTCCCCCGCCCAGCACCAAGCTGGTGTCCAGGCTCTAGGTTCTAGGGGTCTCCGTGCTGCACAAGCCCCCTTGAAGCCCCCTGGACTCACAGGAAATGCTCCTCCAGCCCAAGCCTCACGGCAGCTAAAAATCCCCCCGACGCCAGGTCTCTTGCCCAGGACGCATCGTGCCGGCTACTTGGTTGGGGACTCGGTGCTGTCTCGGTGACTCCCCGCTGGCTGGCCTTTCTGAACGCAGGACAAAGCCCAACCCTCACAGAGCACCGGGGAGTTCTCCGAAGCTCCCAGGGGGTGTTAAGAGCACAGAGGCGCCCGCCTTGGCCCCCGCCCTGCAGAGGAGACACCCTCTGCACGGATGCAGAATCACATCCCTGGGTCGGGGGCCGCTCAGCCTTGCGGCGATAGACACTTGCCCCCCCGCCCCCGAGCACGCTCCACGCTGCCCAGCCCCACTC